CTTTTTTTTTTTTTTTTTTTTTTTTTTTCCTTAATTGTTAAATCAGATTTGGAAGTTGTTGGCTTACCCCGGAATTGCCTTAAGCGCACTGGAATTGCACACTGGAGTAACTGGCTCTAAGACAGTTCTTAGACCCAAAGAAACGTTCCTTTTGGCAATTCCTGATCCTGCCATTATTGTGTCCAGCAGCTTGCTGCTCCAGATACATTACTGATGACATTTGTATGCAACAGATGGATTTTTGGTTTTTTTAAACTTCAAAATAAAGCTCAGACTCTTTCCAATAGCATTTGATAGAACACACTCTAAGAAGTTTAACCCTTTTCCTTTACCAGTAGTGCCTGCTGTTGAGAATAAGACTGTTCCCAAGATTAGCATCTGAGAGTGGAAAGAGAGCCAAAGTCTGCACCTGACCTTGTCCAACCAGTTTTGTGTGCTACTGGCACTGAGCATCTGGTAGTGCAGCACCTTGATCACCTGCAGCAGTAAGTTACTGGGTTGTTTTTGGTTTTTTTTAACCTTACAAGCTTTCGTCATAAGCTCAATGATTATTAAACACTCACATAGGAATTAGTGTGCAGTGGGAGATGTGTTTCTTTACTGCTGGACACTTCCTTTTCTCGTAATTTGGAAGTCAAGGTCAGAAATAGACCTTCAGCAAGTTAATACATAATAGATTATAAAAATGAAATCTGAGATGCCACAGTATCTTAATTGAATCAGCCTCTATGATGCGCTAAAATAATACACAACCGTTTGACTAAAGCATTTCTAATAAAGGAAAATAGGCAGAAAAAAGGGCAAGAATCCATTTCAATCAAGTTCTGATGTAAGTGGCTCATTTACCTATAATGTTTCTGAGTGGTAATTATGCTGTTGTAGAGCATGTTGTCAGGTTCAGAAAATACTGGGTTTTACTGCTTACAATGAAAATCTTTAAACTATATGTCTTACGTAATTAACAAGAAATTATTTCCCATCAAAATTTAGCTGGTATGAACAATAATGGCTTGATTATAATAAAATAATAGTGGCAGTTAGTGAAAGTGTAGCCTGCTCTCTTTACATTGCTGGAAATGTTCCAGGAGTAGTACAGGTTTTTTTTGTGGGGAAACGCAGTTTTTTCCTGCCCTGCCCCAAAACATCAGCTTAACCATTTCCTTTTCCTCACAAACACAGCTGTAACGCAGTACCCTGATCACAAACCAAGTGTCGGCTTCAGGTGAATTTTCTTATCCTTTGCTTTCAAGCCCTTTCATTCAAAGTCTGATTGAAACGTTCCTTATGCAAAATGCATGACGAGCATTTTAAAGACAATTTAAGACGGTGCTAAAACCAAGGGATTCTCACAAGATTGAAATAACCAACATTTTACAATCTTTATCTCCATAATTGCTCACTTAATCTGATCTGTTTCCTCATGTGTTTGCCACTGTATCCTAACTTTCATTAACCTTGACTAAACAACTTGATCTCTCAACGATCTTTTTAGTTAGTCTCGATTTTTTTTGTAACCTCTTTAGGTGTATTGTCACTTAAAACCATCTGTTTATCTGTAATTTTTTTTTTAATAGGCTTAGGTTTGGGGGTTTTTGTAGACTCTCCATGAATTAACTGCCATACAGAATAATTGCAAGCAATTCTTATGATAAGAAGATTTATGCTTCATCTGCTTTTAGTCAAAAAGCAAACCAAAGCGATTATAGAGGGTGCATCCATTACCCATGGGAATGCATTTCTGTCTGCAAAGCTCCTGGGGCTCTTTGGAGGGCCTTTGTGAAGAAAGAGACTCATATGCCATCCTTAGCAACTTAGGTTTTAAAATATTGAACTGTTTTGATGGGAAAAAACAGATTAGAATTGAAATAGTCTTTTATTGGTGATTAGCTTGAAATAAAAAGAAAAATAATATTCAGACTAAATCCCAAGTTAATTCGGATCTGAAACTAAATGTTGTGGTTCATAGCAGTTTTCAGTGAAAATATTTGAGATCTGGAAGGCCCAGAGAGAACACATCTTGGACTTTTCTGAAAGTGAGAACTTACTGAAAGGGAAAGTACTTTGTGTCCTCTCCAGAACAGCCACGAGAGGGCCCAGGATGCCTGGAGTGAGCCTGGCCCTGCTCAGAGAGCAAATCATCATCATTACTCAGTCCCCAACATACTGGAAAAAATTCAATTTCTTTTTAAACAGACATCTGAATGTTATTTCATAGTCTTTCCATTATGTGAAAGAATAGGAAATTCATCTCGGGAAGCCCAGAGAGCTCAGAAATACATGGATTTGTGTGATGATAAAAGTATAATCAACATGCAAACATTCTCTCTGTGTGAGGCTATATAGAGGTTCAAAGAAAGGGAAGAAAGCTTTGCTTTATTCTCCATATCCAGAAGCCTTTCTGATGCAGAAACCAAAGCGGTATAGATCGCTGGTTGAAGTTTGATGAAAATACAAGAAACTTTAAGTGTGTACACCTATAGTATTTGACCTGTTTTCTGCCCATGGTGATGGTACTTCCCTGCTGAACTGCCTTTACTGGGTGTCTGCCCGCTTCAGCTGCAGCTCGCCAGGAACTCTTTTCCCTCAGGAACACCAATATTGCAGCTTAAAGACCTTTCAAACATCCACAGCTATTCATGATATTCTACAAGCCATTATGTCTTTCCTATCCAAAAGTGTAGAATTGTTACCTCCCATAAAAGAAAGGTATTATATAGAAATGCGGGCTAAAAACATTTAGTCCCCAACCAAAGTGGAGCTGATGATCCACGATCTGTCTTATTTAGGGCTAAAACCAAGTTACTGAAATTCCTCTATTTGCAAAGGGGTACAGCAAGTATCTTGATGTAAGTGGGAGAGCTGGTTTAGATTTCTGTTGAGGCTAGTTCTCACTGAAGTTCAGTTTATAGTAAAAGATGCTCAGCATCAAATGGCCCTACATTAAAAATATTCTATGTTTACAAATAGAATACAAATTTAACCTTACCCAAATTAACACTTTATCCCAAATTTTAACACAGGGCAGGGAAAAAAAACCACACCAGTGCTGCAAGACGTCCTGTTATCACAGCCTGTAGTTGTGGCGTTGACCTTCATGAGCTCATTCCTTTGGCTTCCTAATTTAAATGCAATTGTCCACCCTGGCTCCTTGAAACTCCGTGCTGTGTCTCGTTGTCTGGCGTGTACAGCACACTGGCTGGGTGGGAGGTTATTCCTTTAAGAAGATGAGGAGGATTATGGAACAAATTTGCTTTCCCCTTTTCCCCCACCTTCCCCTTTCATTTTGTTATTTTTAATTCTGTTTTTTTTACTCCTTACATCAGTAATCTATACGTAGCACTACAAGTCTGGACCGAACGCAGAGCTTTTGTGCCTTGTGTTAGACGTACACAGCCAAGGAGGGGGCTTTTTGCCCTGAAGTGCTCAGAGCCTGAACTTGCAGAAAAAGAGAGAGAAATCAATCAAACACGAAGCACAGCAGCGTTCCTGTTTTACAACTTGACTAGCAAGACACGAGTATGCTGGTTTGCTTCCCCTCCTCTGCCAGGGCCAGGTTTGCAGAGAGCTCAGTGCATATTCTAGTGCCCGGATAGAAACGGAGCTTTTTGCAAAACTCATCTGGCTGTGAGAGTTTCAGCGGGTTCAAGCCCTTGGCAGAGCTGGCAACTTGAATAAGACCCAGCAATTCAGGCTTAAACTGCTGCTACGTCTAAAGATTCATGTCCGCTGCTCCAAGGAGTCAGTATATCAACGTGTGTGCAGAGTATAAAAATGGACCTGCCCTTTCATAATGGCTTTTTTACATATCATTAGCACAACTGTCCAAACCCACTCGCAGCAAAGCGAGACCTTAAAGCTCCTTCCATCAGTGGACAGCGGGCTCACCGGCTAGAAATGATCCCTTTAATATTTCACAAGGATGGGTTTTTTTCCAGATGCCTGTTTGAATTTGCTGAATTTGGCTGAGTATCATTCACTTAGTTTTTTGT